GAGGTACAACTGTTTTTTTTTTTTTCTAAACGCATTGAAATTTCTCCACTTTATCTATCTTTTCTTTTGCTTCGAAATATGCGAGAAATAACGTTTTCTACAAATTTATAAAAAGTTCGTTCATTTATAATACAAGGTCCACATGCAAATTCTCTGATGTGTAGTTGCATTTGTCTAATTAAAATTTTCATTCCATTGTCTCCCAACTCTTGATATCATGCCGACGACTGCGGAAGAACGAGATGATTAAAAATGATAACACTCGAGCTAATTAAAATTTCCACACTTTATGAAATCCAAATTTAATCGACGGAAAATAAAAAAATGTCTAAATCGGGGCTGATGTGCAGTTTTTTACAGTTGAAGCTTTTCGATTATCGCTTGACTTGGCTGAGACGAGCGTGTTTTGGGAGATATTTTCATGTTACCAGTTTGTTTACTTCTTTTGTACACGTATGCCCTTACCTTAAGATCGATCGGAACACTCGTTGAGTACATTTACGACTGCCATCGAACTAGAAGCTAATTTCTAGATAAGGAACTTATAGTTTCTGTGCTGTTCAAAGCTTACAAATCGAAGCTCGCTTTGCTGTTTTTCTGCCAGTAAGTTTTTTTCATTCTCATTTCGGCTTTATGTATGAAAAACTCCCTAACTTTTCCACCAGATCCAGGCAAAAGAGTTATTCCGATGTTTCCAAAAAATATCCGTACCTGGTTAGAAATAGATCTTTCGTGTCACTTTTTTTCCGAGGAATGGCCCGCAAATCTTAAACATTTGGTGGGAGACGAAATCTTCGACGGAAAGTGAGCTATAAAAACTTCGCCCCCTGGGTAAACTACTCAAACTCTTCGTTGATAGTCCTCCCATTCTTTTAAAAATATTTACTCACCAACAATGCAGATTTGTTTTTTTCTTAATGCATTTATACTTACCTTCTTCCCCTGAAAACCCTCTTCCATTCTAAAACGAACATACGAGGAATAAAGTTTTCTAGAAATTTGCTAAATTTGTTCATGGATAATAAAAGAGTCCACATGCAAATTCATTGATGCACAGTTGCCTTTTATGTCTCTCAAGTCATAGCATTAGGCCGATCGATGACAACGAAAGAATGAAAGGGATAAAAAGAGATAACACTCAAACCAATTAAAAAAAGTCCTTACTTTCCGAATTCCAAATCGAAGGAAAATCAAAAAACTTCTTGATCGAGGCAAATGTAAAGTTTTTGCACTTGCGAACTTTCAGTAATCACTTGAATTTAAACATGCGTGTTTTGGGGAGACAATTTCATGTTAGCAATTTGTTTACTTCTTTTGTACACGTATGCACTTACCTAAACCTCGACCGGAACACTTGTTGAGGATATTTCTGACTGCCATCGAACAAGAAACGACTTCTAAGGAGGAACTTATAGTTTCTGTGCTGTTTGAAGCTTACTAATAGAGGCTCACCCAGATACCGCAGTAAAACACGGCTATGGCGTTGAAAGCAACTTTTCTGCTCAGCATCGTTTTCTTGGTAAGTGAGTTTTTGACTGAATTTTTCATCACGTGTCGAGCATAAGTCGTTTCAATCGATTTTACATTTGCAAGGAACTTTCAGAGAAGGCTGCGGGCATTAAAATTATGAAGAAAACCGGGTTTAGTTCAGAACTAATTAATCACAAAAAAATATATATATACATTAGATGATAAGCTAGAGTAAATCTTCCGTAGAAGTTCCTGGCTAAGGCGGTTTAAGGCCTTTCATATGAGCCAAGTCTTGACACCGGACAAGCTGGGATCTCTGCTTCTTGCCTCTTTATTCATTACTCGGTTCTCGACATCTAAGGCAGGAAAGACTTTATAAACCTGCATTGATTGAAATAAACTGAGCAAGAGCAAATTCTCAGGCGCGGGGAAACCCACCTCGAAAACGATGTTTAGTCGTCATAGACTAACTTTTGTTTGCCTATTTAATCTAGCTGACCTTAAGAACTACTTTCGAAAGTTTCTTGCTGCTAACAATGGTCGTGTGCGTCTGTCTGAGAGATTATTCCAAATTAAAAAGTCGAAAAAATAAATCCGTGTGAACGAAAATATAAGACAAAACAAAACATGAAATCTTCCTATCTCAGATTCCTAAAAACTACACATTATGATGATATATAAAAATCACGTCTGGAAATGAAATATAAATCGTAAAAACTTCATATCAATTCAATTACAGATGGTTGATTGACCGTGGTATTTTGTTTCTAGGCACTTACAGAAGCCAGCAACAAGAATCCGCTATATTCCTCACGATGCAAGGTAGGAAGTTTCAGCGTATTCTCCAACATCGCAAAAAAATTACTTTGCATTAAGGCATTGATTAGAAAATCAGAGAAGGGAATTGGTATTATTATGAAGTTTAAATTCTGATGTTTTTTAGCTCAGAGTACAACATAATATAAAGGCTGAAAGTTTCTAAAGAAGCGTCGGTGGGGGTAACAACTAATTTGGTTGAAATTATAAGTTGGCCACCGTAACGAGTTAATAAGCTAAACTTAGTTGACATAACCAAATTACAACATAATATGTTTCAATAATTAAACTTATTTAAGATTTATTCAGTTTGGTTCACTAATTTTCGAACGAAAGAATACCTAAAAATTCTAATTTCTCACCTAAGACTAATTGAGAATGACCGGGAGTTTGGTTGTGTGTCTGGTAACCTTGTTAAACTTTTTCTCAAACGGAAAAGTAACTTTCCTAGAGGGAACTTTTCGATTCAGCGTTAAAAGGCGAAAAAAATTCAGGTAAAGGAAAGCATCACAAAAAAGGCAATGGGAACACAAAGCAAAGAAGGCCTCAAACGCCTGAAAACTATTATCCCAGCAAGTAAATCACGATTGCTAAGTTGCTCTTTTGATCTTATGTCTCACCGGTTGAAATAATGACACCGAATCGCTCGGCACTCATCACAGAAAGCAATTAAGGAAAGCTGATAAGATTCCGGATTATTTCCCAATCTTACTGTCGGAGGGGCCAGTGAGGTGAACGATAAATTTGACCTACCTCCCACCTAATTTAGAAAAACATTAGCATTTCGAAGTCGTTCATTACATTCAATAATTTCGTTATGGCTGGCCTTCCCTACCTCCATTGGTTGTTTTTCAGCCCGACCTTCCAGACCCATATGATTTAATTTGTACTTTGACTGCTGACCACGCTAATTTTTTCCTTTTACTTCAAGGGAGATTCTTGTCCCAGACCAAAGGATTACTTACAAGATAACAAGAAATTTCGTCCTATCTCCTGCCTTGATTATTTGCTTAAGGGTGCATCCACCTGTGGTATGTACCGCCTCTATGACTCTACCGGCAACAGTTTCCCAGCCTACTGTGATTTCAAGTCCGAGCCTGGTTTGGCATGGACTCTGGTAATGTCCTGGGCCAACAAATATCGTAAGGTGTCTAACCTCCGGGGAAATCCTTTTAAGCAAAACGCTCCTGTGAACGAAAACTCTCTGATCTGGAATATGTACCGCCTGAGTCTGACTCGAATGAGGTCACTACAAGCCCACTCCACTCACTGGCGCGCAACCTGCAGCTACCCGACCCATGGCGTTGATTTCACAGACTACGTCCGCGGCAATTTCAAGGACTTCAACATTGTCGACTTTATTGGGGGTGGTAAGTGCAAAAAGGTGGAGTTTGTGAATATCCGGGGGCACATAGGTATTCATCTCACCGCAAAGTTTTGGCAGAGCACTAGTGCCATGTTGCGCATCGTCAGCAGCCATGCTGGCTGCAATTTTGACCCAAGGTCCGGTTCAGTGTCAGGCGAGGATAACTTTGGTTATTATAGCGACATCAACCACAAGTTCCGTTGCACAGCAGGTGATCTTTCCACCACCCAGTGGTGGTTTGGCGCCCATCTGTGACCAGCAGTGGCACCAAGAGGGTCTTCAAAAAGACAGAAAACGAAGCTCTCAGCGGAAAAGTATTCATTCTGCAAACTAGATTTAGGAAATAACAATGTAACCTTTCGAATACTCTTCAATAAAGACTGAGGTCTCAAAGAACTGAGCGGTGAATGTATCCTTGCTGAGAAGCTTTTGGTTATTGTTGCGTTTCTTTTATGCGCTCTTTTGACGAGAAGAAACTTCAATGCCATAATACATTTTTTGTACAAGTTTCTTTCAGCTTCGTCACAACAATGCACGTGCGTAAATGCCATCATGCTCATTGGCTGAGAGCAGGTCAAGGTCCCAATCCTAAACACTGCGAAAAGGTAAACATGTGATGACTATTGTTATTAAGCAATCACTTGATTTTTGAGTGCCACTCGCATCAAATAGCTTTCTTCTTGACTTTTCGAAGACAAAGAATTTTTCAAACAAACTGAAACGTCAGAAAAGAAACCGATAACTGGCATGCGGCAAAGGTTTCATTTAAAAAGAATCTGGACCGAATGGAAAAAGATGAAGATAATACTTATTTCCTTTCTTTGGGAACAAAACGACTTTTATGAAATTTAACAAATCGACAATGGTTTAGCATGGTCTGTACTCTTATCGACAGCTACATTCGTCATCACAGTGGTCAAAATGTTCTGAACTTACGAGGGGCAGCCGAGTTACCACAATATCGACGTCAGAAGAAACGATTCTTTCCTTGCGTGACGCCTTGACGCGTTGACGCGAGCAGTTTTGTCTGTACTCTTATCGACAAAGGTAAATTGGCCAATTAGATTGCGACATTACTGCCAATTGTGGTTAAAAGCAGCGATATCCTCTATGAATGACAATCCAAAATATCTCGAAAGTGACTTAGTCCTAGAATTCCGTAGAGGTTTCTTAAGAGATCTGGTGAAATTCATGAATCAAGTTTTGAAACTGTACTGGTTCCGTTCTCGAGAACTCGCCTTCATACTTCTTTTCGTGTCAAAGTCGATGCATTCTTGTCGGTGATAATGCGGCTAGCCCAGTTCTCAAGATCTTATAATTAGGCAGGAAAAACTTTAAAAATCTGCATAAATTGAATTAAAAGCAAGAGCAAATTCTCAGGCAAGGGCGGCCCGTCTCGAAAACGATGATTAGCTGTTGCAGACTGATTTTAAAATTTATTCTATAAAATCTAGCTGGCCTTCTGGAAATTCATTGTTGTTACACTTGAGTTCGTAAGTTGGTTCAGTTCGCGTCAGTTCGAAAGATTCTTCCTAACTGAATAAAGGAAAAAGTAATTCTGTTCTGACAAGAATAAACGATAAATGAAACAAAACAATCTTCCAGTCTCAGATGCCTAAAAACTACATATGATGATGTTACAAAAAAGTTACGAATGCAAATGAAATAAAGTTAGCAAAACTTCATATTAGATTCAGTATATATAGCTGATTGACCGCGGTAATTTGTTTACTAGGCACTTACCGAAGCCAAAGACAGGAGTTCGCCATCTGTTAGGATGCAAGGTAGGAACTTTCAGTCACTATATTCCCTAACATCGCTAGAGGCATAAAGGCATTGATAAGAAATAAAAGAAGGAAATTGATAATATTGTTGGAGTTTAAAATACTGATTCGGAGCACAGCATTCAAACTAAAATGCTTCGATAATTTACTTAACTGATTCATTCACTTTGGATCACTAATTTGCGACCAAAAGGAAACCTAAAAACTAATTTTCTCAGTGAGGAATTGTTGAGAATGAGCGGAGTGGTGTTGTGTATCAAGTAAACTTGTTATATATTTTTTTTATTCAAGCAGGAAAGTAGGATAAGTGCTTTTTTTAATTCAGTGTGAAAAACAAAGGAAAAAATCAGGGATAAGTACTCGTCAAAAGACGGCAACGAGAATCCAAAGTAAATAAGGCCTTAAAAGCGTGAAAATCGTGATTGCTCAACAGCTATGTACTTTGATTTGGTATCTCACTGGTTGAAAGGATGACGCAATCGCTCAGCACCAATCACAGTACGCAGTTATGAAAACCTATAAGATTCTGGATTATTTCCCTCTCACTGTGGGGGTCAGGAAAGGGAGGCTATAAAACTTTAACCACCCTCTCCACCTAATTAAGGAACAATAAGAAGCCTTAAGATTTCCAAATGTCGCCATGGATGGTCTCTATGGAAACCTTCCTCCTCTTTCCCCCCACCCCCCTCTTTAGTTGTTTTTCAGCTTGACCATCCCCACCCATTGTTTTTCTTTTCTTTTGTCTTATGACTGCTGACCACGCTCATTTCATTCGGCTTACTTCTAGGGAGATTCTTGTCCTACACCAAAGAATAGCTTACTAAACAAGGAAAAATTTCGTGCCAACTCCTGCCTGGATCATTTGCTGAGGGGCGCATCCGCTTGTGGTATGTACCAACTCTACGATTCTAACGGCAACAGTTTTCCAGCCTATTGTGACTTCGAGTCTGAGCAAGGTTTTGCACGGACCCTGGTAATGTCCTGGGCCAACAAATATCGTGCACCCTCTGTCTTCCGGAGAAATCCCTTCACGAACAATGCAATACAATACAATATTTTATTGATAACTCCCCAAAGGGGCTTTTCAGTGACAATGAAACAACGCTGCTGTAAACAAGAACTCTCTAATCTGGAATATGTACCGCCTGAGTCTGACTCGAATGAGGTCACTACAAGCCCACTCCACTCACTGGCGCGCAACCTGCAGCTACACGACCCATGGCGTTGATTTCACAGACTACGTCCGCAGTAACTTCAACGACTTTAACATTGTCGACTTCATTGGATCTGGTCAGTGTAAGAAGGTGTACTTTGTGAATATCCGGGGGCACATGGGTATTCATCTCACAGCCCGTTTTTGGCAGGGCACTAATTACATGTTGCAAATCGAAAGCAGCTCCTCCGGCTGTAACTTCAACCCCAGGTCTGGCTTAGTGTCCGGTGAAGATAATATATAATAATAGATGCTTATAGGGCGCATATCTTTGGATATCACTATACCATTAACCCCAAGTTCCGTTGCACGGCAAGTGATCTTTCCACCACCCAATTGTGGTTTGGCGCCCATCTGTGACCGGCAATGGCACCAAAGTGTCTTCAAAACGACAGGAAACGAGGTTCTCGACATACAAATATTTATTCTGCAATCTAGATTTAGAAAATAACAGCGTAATCTTTTGAAGACTCTTCAATAAAACCTGAGGTCTTTAAGAACTGGGCATTGAGTGCATTCTAGATGAGAAACTCTATGTCATTTCTGCGTTCCAGTTTTTACCAAAGGAACTCCAATTTCACAGTTCTTGAGCTTGTACAAGGTACTCAGTTTCGTCGTGTGCATACGTAAATTCGAGGACGCACATCCGAACAAGTCCAACCATATCCCAATGCCAAACACTTTTAAAAGTTAAAATTTAATGCTCTCAATTATCAAGGAATCAAATTATTATGAGTGTTCCTCGCAGTAAATACTACCTCCCCCTCCCCAACGCTTTAGCAAGGACAACACCTTGTTTAAATAGAGCGAAAAATCAGAAAATAAAACGTCAGGGACCGGGCGAGATATATTTTTGGGGGTAACGGGGTGGAGACCAGTCGTCGACAACAGAGTTCAAAGGGGACAATAAAGAATTAATTGCACTTAACTACGCATGTCAGTGAATGGGATCATATGGACATTACAGGGTCTTAGGAGAGATCAGGTAAATTTCATCTTGACAACCAAAATCCTCCCATAATGACTGGTCCCTTTATGGAAAATATAGCATTTTGAAGCATGCATATTGTTTGTTTCTCGGCAATTCTATCGAACCTCAGAGTTGGAGGTGGCGAGATGCATTCTCCATTCCTCATTTTCCATTCCTCCTTCTCCATTCCCTATTCTCCAGTCCCCATTCCTGGTTATAATAACATCCTAGCTTAGCAGACCTTAGAACCTGTGAAATATTTCAAATCAACAGCGGCAGTTCCAGCTGTAATTTCGACCTGAGGTGGCCAGGGATTCAGCGTCAAGTTAAGAGAACGCGAGACTAATAACCTTCAGATGACTTTCAAAAAGACTGAGATATCTGACGGAAAAATTTTAGAGCGAGACAATTAGTATATTTATGATAGTAGAAAGAAAAATGATCGCTACATCTTTAGATAAAAGCTATTTTTGGACATATAACATCCATAAGGCGGTTTCCACCCAACTTGAGGATGGTATAAAGAGTACGGCAACAACAAGCAGTCTAAAAATCACATTTGGGGTCAGTTATCTACACGAGGTCTAAACCAAACCACTGTATTACACAACCAGTGGGCCTCAGGGATTCGCCATGAGAGGGTTTACTTGATTAAAGAGATATCCTTCCACTATTGACTGAGCTGAATAACATATACACGCGCGGTAGGTTTTGCCGCGGAAACACGGATTTTGAGTCGTTCGCATGGTTGATTTCCTACTCTGTTGCTTCGAGGCGTCGTTTTCCTTGCCGCTTCTCTTTCACAGAACAACCTCCAAAAACTTCGTAGACTCCCTAACAATTTTCAAAAATCAATTTTCTCCTTGAAACCTCTGGAAATAGGAAGATGCCTTCGACGAAAACAGAGTTCCTCGGTTTTAAAAGTCAGTCCTTAATATTATTTTCCGCTAATTTCGCTAAATTTTAGACCTAGGACACTCGAGCCTGCGTTGTTGACCGCATACCCTCTGACGTTGCATTTCATTATTCAGCTCTATCTCCACTATTAGCTTTCGGCGCTCTTGACTCTTTTTACAAAATAATTTTTCGGACAAGAGGTTCTGCTGATATGAAGATAGCTCAGACTGCATTTTTGCTAAGGAACGGCTAACTTTTGTTTGAATAATCAGCTCTTGAAGTTTGAATGATAATCACAACCCATACCCATCCGCTCACCCAAACCATTCATCTCTACCCTCTATTCACTTGGTTAGGCAATTTAAAGAAGCGAGATGCTTCTGGAAGTATTAACCAGCCAAAAAAAAAGATTTCTGGATTTCTGTCGGTAAAGATGAAAACTACGCGATCGGTCATCTGAGGGAGAGGGGGCTGCCAGCTTTACTTCCGAGGGGGGATGGGGGGCTGCCAGCTTTTCTTCATGGCACTCCAACAATTCTCACTCATATGTTGACCAAAGATTGAAGTTTAACATAGTATCCGTGACGTGGCAATCAAATTCTTCTTTTTTCTTTCAATTATTCACTCCTTAAAAATAACATATTAGAAATTATATTAGGACGATACGAATAGTTTTACCATCCTTCAATAACATCATGGTTCTAAACATTTTCATGCTTTATCA